CCTTCCTGCCACTGCATTTGTGAGGTGCCTCTACAGCCACCTTCGCCCCTCCAAGGCAATAGTGCTCTTCCTCAAGATCGATAAGGCCGCAGCCTTTGGAAAACCCGCTCCTTCCAACACAGGCGCTAGAAAAGGTAAGTCAAGTGCTCTGTGTGCTTATTTGCGTACCTCACCTGTTAATTTACGAGAATGTGAATGCCTGATGAATATATACGGACACCATGGAATTAAACATTAATGGCGCTGAAGGTCCTAAAAGCCACCTAGTTTACAAAAAAATCAAACTGATGGAAAACATCTACACTAATTACTTTGGTTTTTTATAACTCCTTTTTTTGCTACCTTTCAGCTGTCACGTTACATTTGTCACGCATTATGGTCAGAAACATGCCTTTTCCGTGTCTAGCATGTGCATTTTGTGAGGTAATGTAATAAATATTTAACAAAGAGTTTATATTACCATGCCAATTAAGCTCTCAACTGATTTAAAGCCAAAGCCACTATGAGATACGAGACTTAATAAGAGACGCAGCAACAGATCTCCACGGAACATGTAGATTAGACAAGCCTGACTGTATTTACTTTGCATTTTAGCAAATAAACCAAGTAGTTAATTTCACTCTAATCGAATAAGACATCATCTCTAGAAACTGCCTACATGGTTACTGCATGTCTCAAAGAAACAAAAAACCACAACAAAATCCCAAAGCCCCCACAACTGCCTCCACTTCCAGATCCTCTGACTTGGCTCTGTAGTGAAGCAGATTTAAGTTCCAGCCACATATCTAAGCAATATATATAATATCTACATATCAGTCATTGTTACCTTTCGATGTGTATATTTGCACTAGAGCAAGCCACGAAAAGCAACCAAGGCAGCACGCACTTTTGCTGACACCTTTATTCCCTTCAGGTGTTTGTGTTTAAACACTTTAAAAAAAATACAGAAAAAATTACAAGATAAACAATTCGATCTAGCTCAGAACACTGTGTGTGCTTAAGGGCTTGACTACATACCACCAACACATATATTATTAAGGAACATTCAAGAGGTCAAATGTTTTCTCTTAATTCATTTAAGCAAAACTTTTACTTCAGTTCCCATAAGAATTATTTTCCCCCCAAAATATAAGACTAATTAAACATAAAAATAATTGTGGCTTCCATAAAAGTAGTATACACAGGTAAATGACAATACACCTGGAAGAATAAAATTTTCTATAGACATTATATATAAAACATACCTTTTACTAGATGTGTTTTATCAGGCCTCCCCCTAGTTTTCATCTTCCTTTCACATCCCACAAAAAAATAAAAATTAAAAAAAAATAGAAAATATCACTGTTGTTGTAATAACTACAGTGATTAAGCTGATTAACTTCATATCTCAAGAATTAATTTGAAGAAATGCTTACAAGTCAGCAGGGAGAAGTGAAAGTTCAACTGATAAAAACAGTTACCAGACCAGAATCAAAACCCAAGAGTTGTGAAATCCCAGCAAGTTAAAAACCAAATAGGAATACAACATTCTTTGACCTTTGAGAATTTATCCAAACTGTAAAAACCAGATAAGTTGGACGTGAAACTTAAACCACACAACAGACCTTTCAATAGCAATCCCTGAGGCACTACTTAAGGAAGATCCCTTCTCCAGTTTTACTAAGGATTCACACAGAGGCCAACAAAAGTAGGCCAGCAACAAGACACAGAATCGGAAGCCAGAATTCCCATGGTTTTACCCCAACTGTGACTCAAGTTTAAACAGTGGTTTTGAACCCAGCTCTCTCTCTGTGGCCACAGGCAAGTCTTAACCACTCTGCCTCAATTCCCTCACCTGCAGAATAAAAATAATTATACTTATCTGCCACACAGGAATCTCACACAACAAACACTGTCTGGCAAGTGCACATCTGTTTAAACTGCGGACAGAGCTACTAAGTGCTAGTTCTGAGCACCTGCACAAACTGAAACTGAGAGTGAAAACAACTGGGACGAAGCAGCTACCGAAGGGCCAACAACACCACCACCACAATCCTGGGGGCAACACACCGTCTGCGCGGCGCCTGCTCTGGTAGGTGTTAAGCAGTTCACCTGCTCGGGACACAGCTCGGGAAGACGTTCGTGTGGGAAGTCGGCGCTGCCCGGAGCGATGGGCCGAGGGCTGCTCCGGGGGGTCCCATCGGCCCCGGGTAGGCACTCGGGTAGGCTCCGGGCGGGTCCCTCGGCACACGGCGGCGCGGGGGCAAAGCTCAGCCGCCGTGCCGGGCCCGCAGTGCGGGAGCGGCCCCGCGGCCCGCCCGCCCTGCCCCCGCCAGCCCCACGCCGGGATTCTCCTCCCGCCGCCGCCGCTCCCCCGAGAGCCGCCTCGAGTGGGAAGATGGCGGCTCCGGCCGCCTCCCCGGAGCGAGGGGGCGGCGGGGCGCTGGGGGAGGGTGTCGCTCCCGCCGTGGCCCCGCCATCCCCCCCCGCGCACCGAGAGCGGCGGGCGCGGAACGGCCCCGGCGGGCGCCGCCGCCCGGGGGGCGCGGGCCGGGCGGCCCCTCGCACTCACCTGTCACCAACAGCCGCCGCCGCCCGCGGGCCGGGGCTCGGCGCGGGGGACACGGGCGGGCACGGAGGGGAGGGGGGGGTTGGCTCCGCCGGCGCGGGGGCCTCTCGCCTCTCTGCCGCGTTCCCGCTGGCGCCGGGGCCTCTCTCGCCGCCGCGCCGCCGCCGCCGCCGGGGCCTCGCCGCCGGATGCCGTGAGGAGGAGAGCGGAGCGCGGGGCGGGGCCGAGGGGGGCGCGGGGCGGCGGCAGCGCCGGGGGCGGGCGGGGCGGGGGCGGCGCGGGGGCGGCGGCGGCGGCTCCGGGCCCGAAACGTCTCCGAGCCGAGACTCAACCACCCGCTCGCATGAGAGACCCGCTTCCGGCTCCGGGCGGAAGTCCCACCCCCGCCGGCGGAAAGGATTGGCCGGCGCTGCCGCCTCGCGGGGCGGGTGCGCGCAGGACCGGGCGGTGCCGCCCGTGGATTGGCCGAGCGTGGAAAGGGGGGGGAAAGGGGGAGAGCGCCTGGGGCGCGCGCGCGCTCGCGCGCGGCGTGTGACGCGCGGAGCGGCGCGTGAGGCGCCTGACGTCACCCAGCACGGAAGGGGGGGGGGGGGGGGCGGGGCGGTGTCGGCGCCGCCCGACAGCGCCCGCGCCCCGAGGAGGTTTGTCCTCTCGCGCGCGCCGTAGCCCCGCCGGGATCAGGCGGGAAGGGAGAGGGAAGGAAAATGGAAGGGGAAGGTCGAGTTGCCTTTGGTGTGGGGGCGGCGGCGCCTCCCGCCCTGGTGGTACCGAGTGTGTGTGTCCGGGGGCGGCGGGACGGTGCCTAGGGCAGCGCTGAGCTGTGGGGGCACGGCCGGCGCTCTCAGAGACGGGGTCTCGGTGTCCTCTCCGAGCGCTGCCGCAGCAGCTGCCTGTCCGGGGTTACAGACCCTTCCACAGGGTATTCCAGATCCGGGTACAGAAGCTCCTGAAGAATAAGGCTGAGCAGTTGTGGCTTCAAAAGGAAGGGATATGTGCAAATAGGGTTTTAGGAGAAGAGTCTTTAATGAAAGAGCCTTCTGTTCCGTGTGGGTTATGAAAGCCTGCAGAGCGTTGTCTCATAGAATCACAGAATGGCTCGGTTTGGGAGGGACCCTAAAGATTATCCAGTTCCAACCCCCTGCCATGGGCAGGGACACTTTGCAGTAGACGAGGTTGCTCCAAGCCCTGTCCAACCTGGCCTTGAACACTTCCAGGGATGGGGCAGCCACAGCTGCTCTGGGCAACTTGTGCCTCACCACCCTCACACTGTTCATCGTGCAGAGGAAAAGAAGACAGAGGAAGCGAAGGGCTGAAGAACAATCCTGACAGACAAAAGATTTATCAGAAAGACAGGGTTGTTAAGCAGTATCCAGATACTACTTCCCTCTGACAGTGGGTTCCTCTGCTGCTCCTGCAGCGTGACAAGCAAAGAAACTCTGCTAGGAAGTAAAATGCATTTTGTTTGAAGGGGGTTCCTCCTAGGCTGGAGAATGCCAGGTTGGATTGAATAATATGCACAGAAAGGAAAGGGAATGCAAACTAAGATAGGGGTAAGCACAGGACATTGTGGTAGATGAGGGACTTTTGCCACAGGTAAAGTCTCTGTAGGACTCTTCTGACTCCCCTGACTTTTCAGCCTCAGTTTACCAAGCTAGGGAATAGAGTATATCTTCAGTTATATAAAACTGCAGTGAATTCCACAAGATTCAGGAATTCTTTTGTTTGACCAAAGAACAAATGAGTCTTGTTAAACAGTCCTAGTTATTTAGTACAGATCATCATTTGTTTCTAACTACAGTTAATTAGGCAAATGGAAAACTTGTGGTTTCTTCTCAGGACATTAAAAAAAAAAAAAAAAAGTCTGGTAAGGATCATCCTATCATCTTCCAGGACTGCTCCCAGTCCTCAACTTATCTTCAACTTCAGGAGTGGCAAAACTTCATCACCTTACAATCAGTTGTCAATAATTACCTGTACCATGCATTGCTGCCTATATGCATCTCTGAAGCTAATCCAGACAGGGCCCTCTGGATCCTGTTTTTAATCCTAATTGATAAGTCATGTGCCTGCCTTCCAGCTATCTGCTAGAGATTCCCATAGAGACAGTAACAGCAATTAACTTAGAAGACCTAAGGACACCCGAGTACCCTTTGGAACTGTTTTTGATGTTACTGTATTGTTGAAAGTCCCTGGCTGGTGGAGGCAATAAAGAACATCGCAGTGCCTGGAAGGAGCTCAGTCCTTATCGAACACGAAGCTTTGCTGTTCGTCCGAGGGAAGTTGTGCCTCAGTGTTCACTCCTGGGCAAACCACGGGGTGTTTTCCTTACTAGGTTGTTTCAATTTCACAGAATTGTTATGAGGAATAAACCCTGAGCCAAGGAAGATGGATAGGGTAGAGCCTGATAGGAAAAGGAATAAACCAGCTCTGGGTGTTCAGAAGGACAGACAATTCCTTGGGTAGTGCAGGAAGTGTGACTGATCCATTAGGTGGCCACCATGGAGCTGATACATAAACTATTGATTGCTTAAAAGTCTAAAACAGTGAAACAATTGCTCTTTTTAATTATGTTTTTAAATTTATTTTATAAAGGAGTTCAATATGATTTTGTTCTTTAATGCCAGACCATTTTTCAGCAGACTGCAGCTCTTGTCAAGAAAAGGAAAACAGAAAACGTCTAATTTTAAGCTCTCAAAACAGGGAGTGCTGTTTTGAGCTCTCAGAATTGTCATCAGCCTGTTATATCCTTGTTCTAGAGGGACCTCAAAATTCCTGATACTTATCCCTTTAGGCATACAGTCTTCCCATTTCCCCCAGGCCATATCCCCATGCAAGTCTTGGGCAGGAAACCAAACCCATCAGACTGATAAAGAGATTGCACTGTATCATTCCTTCTGCTGACTCAGAGTTTATGATGGCTGAGCTCATAATGAGGAAATGTGAGAGAGAAAATGGTGATTCCTGTCAAGACCAGAACATGGGCACAGCCTCATTGTAGGTAGGAGTTTTTTTTGATGGATAGTTTGTTCTGTTTATCTTGGTTTTTTTTCCTAAAGCAGCTCAACTATGTTATTAAAGAATAAAAGTACTCTGACACTAGATTTTTTAAAAGCCCACTGTTATAAATGTGTTATATATTGATAAACATGTCAATATATGTGTGTTGGGTTTATGATTTTTATTCCCTTAAAATTTAGTATAGTTGAGTAACAGTCAACTTTTTCTGGAAAGCAATAAGTTTTCTACTTGCCTGGGCCACTTCTAATTCTCAGTGTGGGGGATGTAGAACTTAATCTCTTAATGCTTCCATTTTTTAGTGGCACACTGCTGAGATCAAAGAAGTTTGATATTTTTCCTTGTTACACTGGTAGCTGAGGAATGTGTGCCCAGATAGGAGTAAAATATTACAAATCAACAGTGGATGCTGTGTGGTAATAGAAACTACTGCCGGTTCTTCTATATCTCAGACTCAACCGTCTGGAGAGAGAATGCATCTCTGAAGGAAAAATATCCGTGAACAGTCGGATTGTTAGTTCAGAAAAATCAAGGAAGAGTAGACTAACTAATTATTTTTTCTTGATCTGTGGTCGAACAGATGTAGAAGGGACCATGTAAGTTACTTCTCGATGTATTAGTGATACATTCTTAAAATTATGTTTAATATTTTAGCCTGGAGAAGAGGAGGCTCAGGGGGGACCTCACCACTCTCTACAACTACCTGAAAGGGGGTTGTAGCCAGGTGGAGGTCAGTCTCTTCTGCCATGTCTCAAGGGAAAGGATGAGAGGAAATGGCCTTTTGTTGTGCTAGGGGAAGTTCAGATTAGATATTATAAAAAAAGTTTTCACTGAAAGAGTGGCCAGGCATTGTGATAAGTTGCCCAGGGAGGTGGTGGAGTCACCATCTCTGGCAGTGTTCAAGAGGTGCCTGGATGTGGCACCTGGGGACACGGTTTAAGGATGACAATCGTGGTGCTGGGTTGACAGCTGGACTAGATGATCTTGAAAGTCTCTTCCAACCTTGGTGATTCTTTGATTCTGTGATACTGTACGTTTTTTAATTAGGATTTATAGTTCAGGAAAAGAAAAAAAAAAAAAAGAAAAGAAGTAGTCAGTGTACTTCAGAAGGTAAGTCCATATGAAGAGGAGCTGCAAATAGTGCAGGATTCCTGGAAGCTAAACATAGAATTGAGCAGTCCGAAACTCAAACCCTCAGAAATTACTAGATGTATTTGAATACTTGGGTTTTACAGTCTTTATGATTTCCTCAAAGTATAATACAAAGGATAATATTTCCTTGCTCACAAGAGCGTAAAGGATTAATTTGTTAAAGTTTGTGAAGCACTTGGGTGATGTGATAAAAATTTCCACTAACACAGGACTGGATTTCTGCTTTGTAAGGAAGTTTTGGGCTACCTCTTTTTTGGGGTGGGGTTTTTGTTTGTTTGGCTTGTTTGGTTTGGTTTTTTTATTTTCTTTTTCACTTCCTTTAAAACACACTCTCATAAAATATTTAAGCTTGCAGATCTATGGGATAAGGCTTCATAAATCACCAGTATTTAGTAATTGCTGACCCGGAACACTTGCCAAAACCCACAAACCACTCGGAACGTTGCAATTTGTGAGACCTTACGAGCCACGTAATATTTTACAGTTCCTGAAGCTACTACCCATCTTTGCAGAAAGAGAGAGATTTTGAAAGGTAAGATTGTACATTGCGTACAAGGGATTGTACGCAATGGGCTATTCCTGTCATAAAACTTTAATAGGATCCTGTAGTCAGTCTGTATTGCACGGATTTGATGAGTGGCAGTCTTGATAAAAACAGAGGTGACAATTTGGATCTGTTTATTTTGTAGTTGAAGAACCATTTATAACACAGTGGCGAGGCTATGGTGAGACAATTTCTAAATTATATCCAGTGCCAAAATCCAGTTGGACTGCAGTGGTATTTTGGTGCCCAGGCAGCAGTGCTGAGTACCCACACATGTGAGTGACAAGGTGAAGGTGTGCACCTTGTGTCTTTCTTGTATCAGCTGCTTGGATCAGGTATCAAGCCTTGTAAAGTGCTGCTGTAAAAATAGTTCAAATAAACCCTCACTTAACAGATTTTCTCCTTCAGCCTTGTCCCTTCAGCAGGTTACTCTGATTTCTTTAAGACATAAAAACCACTTTAAAATAAGGCTGTAGTGTAAGTGCCAGCTGTTGTTAAACCCTGGGTTTCATTAGCAGACTGTAAAAAAAGTCTAAGCTGTAAATGGTACCATAAATATTAAAACTGTTGTTAACAGCAGCTGATTACAAACTTTCAGGAGATGATTTAACAGTAATAATTACTGTTAATTGAGCAAAATCACAAATCTGAAAATTACCATTCAGTTTCATGGACTTTGCACTATCATCAAACTGACCAATAGACAGGCCTGACTCTGTCTGTATGTAGCAGGTCTGCAGCAGAGCCAGGACTTGTAACCAGACCTTGCACATTCCAGGTTTGAGCAATATACTGTCTTCAATATATTTATTTTTCCTCTGTGATGTATTTCTTTCTTTAGCTTGAACCCATTTTTAAAAGCTAATTAATCCTTAATGAGAAATCATATAATTTACGTACATTTTGTGGCTTAGAATCTTCTGAAGGGATCTGGAATCAATTCAAATTTTCTTAGCAGTAAGGATGTTGGCAATTTTCTACCTTTGTACTTATTTCCGTGATTCTATCACTATTTTTTCTGAACACTTCACAACAGTCCTTAAATACCATTATAACCACCATGTGTGAAGTATGAGTGTATTTATCAACAGGTGGCAAACTAAGGCACAAAGGTGTTTGAGCTCAGTTGTAACTGGTCCTGTGCAAAAGTTGTGTCTGCTCTGAAAAATGATGATAATTTTGTAGTTCTGTCCTCTTGAACACCATATTGAGATTCTGTAGGGGTCATAAATACATGTATCTTTATTCCCCAACCTTACCATTTCAAACATGACCATATTTAACTGTGCTTCCTGCTTTTGTCCTCATAGGTTTTAAAAGGATTTTCTGTTTCTATTTGTTTGCGTGTGTTTGGATACAATTTTAATTCTCTCATTCTCTATTATGTTGGACATCTGCAAGGAAAATTATGTGAAAATTTCAGGCCCCTAATGAATGAATTGCAAAGCGATGAATATCAAATGCTTCTCCTTATAGAAGGAATATATTGCATAAAGCATAATAGTGAGCTGGGTTAAAAAGTTGTTCACTGTGAATTTTACCTGTACTTGCACTTATATTTCAAGGCGGATTTTTTGGAAGGGTCCAGAGATTCCCACTAGCCTCTGCCTCCTCTCTGATAAACCAACTCCAAGTTTCTTATAATTCTAAGGAAAGGGTCAAAAAAAGGGACAGAGCAGAGCTGGTTGTCTCTGAGCTTCTTTTTAAGATCCCTACCCTTAACCCCTCTGTTGGAGGGTCAGAGTGGCTTTGTGTCTTGCACTTGGCTGGCTGTGCTTGTAAATACTTGGGTATTGCCACACATCATAGTTACCTGGGGCTTTTCTGTCTTAAAGAAACTTCTGCTGCCCAGTCTTCTGTAATTTACAGATACAATATAACATATACCAACTCTAATTGGGTTCTTTGATGTGTCTTGTGCTCTGCAAAATAGGCAGGCTCTCAGAGAAAGAAGTAAGGTTCCCATAAGACCATTAGCTGCTGATATTCTGTAAAGTCATGTCTGATTGTTCTTTGCATCTCTTCTGCTCAGTCAGAGAAGACTGAGGCCTGTAAAAAAACTACTTCATGCTGCTGAATCCTAGACATTGTCAAGATGATCTATTGAATACAGCCTTATGATTCCTCTTCTCTCTTGCAGAGCCCTTCTCTGTGTCACGAGGATTCATTTCTGGTTTTCATCCAGCAGAGATAGTCCAGTAAGAGGGATGGTTTTCACACCAGGGTGAGAAATGCAGGTTTTTAAATCATCCACAGGTTGAGCAGGGCCAAGCACTTGGTGGCTGAAGCCACAGAGTGCCCAGGCTGCCCTAACAGCTGTTTCTGGCCATGAAACAAGGACAAGATGAAAGTACAGCTATCTGGGTGTCCCAGACGGAGAGCTGTGGCCACCCCTGAGTGGATCATGTCTGCCAGACTTTGGGAGTGGAATGACCTGTAAAAGGAGTAGAGGAAACCCACATGAATTGTGACTAGAGATGTCTCCTGAGCAACTGACATGTATGATAGAAATCTAAACTTATACTTGGGTCACTGTGGAAATCCCTGTGCACCTCAAGATACACATAAACCCAGTATCGTTTATGCAGAGTTTTTGTGCAATCTCAGTTCTAACTTCCCCTTGAATGTAAGAGAGGAAATAGAAAACTGTTTTAGAAGGAAAAGAAAAAGCAGTTTATACTATGGGAAGTCTGAATAGGAAGCTCCAGCTGACTGTTTACTAAGCTAAATGCAACATGGAAAATTCAGTGTGTCAGGAAAAATAACATAGTTTTCTCTCCTGGTGGCAAGCAGCCATGATTGTTGTTACTGACATGGTCAGCTAATATCATCCTTCTGATATTACTATAGATGGATAAAATCACCATGAGAACTACCCAGTACTGAAAAATACACATTTGTACTGGTTTTTCTCTCCTCAATACAGTAAGGTCAGTTCTGAGCTAGGGCTGCAGGGCTGGGAGTGTATCTGCATGCTTCTGTGAAGTGTGGGGTGGTTCAATGTTTACTGGACAAATACATGTGTCAGAAAGTGCCCTGCATCCCTGCCTGGTACAGGCCAATCCCTGGTAGGGAAAAGATGAGCCCAGATGAGACAAATGCAACACGACCTACGCATCTAAGAGATGTTTTCTTAACAACCAGCTTTCTAGCACAGAAGAAGAGTGTTTCTCTCCAACCTTCTGTGTCTCTTCTGTGTCTGGAGAGAGGAGAGCTCTGAGAGTACAGCTGTGGAATCTGAATAGGAGATAACAGTGCAAATGTGTGTAGTGTACGTCTAAGCCCTGATTTTCAATACACAATGATTTTTTAAAAAAAGCTTAGTGCTGACTCTGATGCCTTTTGCACTTCTAGTGCCTTTTCTCCTGCACGTTGCACAGCAGCAGCACATTCTGGTGTCTGCTATAATATGGGTAATAACTCACAGTCATGTGTTTCTGATTTTCATCAAATGGAGCAACAAGTGGGGGGTATGCTGCAGAGGTAATGCAAATTATCTTTTAAAATTGATGGTAGAAGTGATCCTGTATCTCAGGAAGCATGTCCATGGATTCTGTGAAGTGAGTTGGGTGGCAGATAGAGGTGAGCTGGAATTCATTGGAATAATAGAGGTGAGATAATGGTGGGTAATGTCCCAAGACTTACAGCAGGACTGATGTTTCCAGGAAATCCAGAGAGTCCAGCCTGGAGGCTGGATCACAGATAGGCAAATAAACCAAGAGGAATGAGAGCAAAACGGATGAATGTGACCTGCCTTGCATCATAGACCACCAGGGAAAGAAAGCCCTTGTATGTCCCTGCTGATAATACAGCACTGAGCTTGTGAGAGACACCTGAACCAATGGTATGTAAGTAGATGGAAGTTACAAACATGAGAAAGAATCTTAAATAGGATTAAATGGAAATGTAAAATTACGTAAAGTGCAATCTTTCTACTGAAAAATATAAATTGCCTTGAGAAACAGGAAGAGTGGAAAGAGAAATTAAGCATGTTGAGTTTGGTTAGTTGGTTGTTTTTTTTTTTTAATTGAAAAGCATATAATTTAAAAAATAAACAGAGTGGGATAAAAAATATTTTGCTTCTCCTGACTTTGTGACTGTTACCTCTTTTGCTCATCAATTTTCTCTCTTCTTTTAAACTCCAGGCCTTTTGTTTTATAATTAAATTGTGAGCTCTTCAGGGCAGCAGCTATATGCAGACATGGAGCAGTAAATACCCTGCAGCAGTAAATACTTACCCTGATTGGCACCACTGAGCAATATAAACACTATGTAAATAATGAGAAAGTCTGAGAGGTGCTGTATCCTGGATAAACACCATTCATTTCCACGGCTTACATTGTAGTTGAATTAATTCTAACAGTACACAAAACCATGTCAGTGCATCGGCTAAAGGCAGGCTGGATGCTGCTTGGAGGTATGGAAAGTCATGAAGAGCTGGGTGAGCCCCCTGATGTCCTCTGGGAGGAAAAAATGCACTGGGGAGAAGCTGATTTGGAGCTTGGAGCCAAACTTCCCTTTGGGAAGGAAAAAAATTGACACAGTCCTCTTCTTATGTGACATTCAGGGAGAATTGAATGTCTGTGCATGAGACAGATCCAAACAGGCATTGTAGGCAGGAAACCTGGAGTGTTATCCTGCTGGCTGCTTCAGTTGCCCACATATATCTGTCTAGAGTCATTTGAGATGTCCTGTAGTAGGCCCCAACTTCCAGCTGCCACTTGGGAGGGAGAAAGGTCATGTTTAATATTTGGCAATTCTGTGTAAATGTCTTGGATACCACAGGCAAAGCTGGCACTAGACATCTAAATTTAGCCAGCTGGTTTGTGTGCCAAGAGATGTTTTTTAGGGTGAGGTGGGCAGATCTCTGGACTCCACTGACTGTGACAAAAGGCTGGACATCCAGTTAACATGTGGACACCTCCCAGGTCTCTTAATCTGCAAGGGGAATACTATTGTCCTTTAAGATGTGCCCCAAGACAAGACTTAGCTTAGTGTCCTTTAAGGTAATATATAAAAAATTGATTGATGCTAACATTGTGAAAGTGCTTTAACGTGTTTTTTAAAACCAGAGGTCTTAAAATGGTGCTGAAGCTGCATGTGAGAATGTAGGGTTCTGATATACTCTGAGCAAGCTGTGCCCCCTTCGTGGAGCTGAGTAAAGCCCCTGCACATTGCTGGGACACCTGAGCTGGCTCAGACCCACAGTGTCTGACGATACCAGTGCACCAGGTGTGCTGAGAGGCTGGTGCAGAGTTAGCTCATGTGGAGAACCACTGGCCTTACATCTCAGTAACATCTCAGATGTTACTGAAAACACTTTACACATCTCCTTTTTTTTTTTTCCCTTCACCATAATTTTACTTTTTTTTTTCCTCGGGAAGAGTTTCCTTCTGAGTATTTGAATGTACTGCAGCAAGAACTACTGTTTGCTGTTATCTTTATACAACAGAAACACAAGGAGCCCCTGGTCTCTGACAAGGACACTGTGGCAAAACAAATTAAAGATACAGACAGAAAGCCAGAGTGCAGAGTGAGGTTATGTCTCAAAGATGACACTGGCCCTCTGAGATAAGGCTGAGGTCTTCTGCAGTTTGACCTAATACCTCAAGTAAAAGAAATTTCATTTCCATGTGTGTATCTTGTATATATCAAAACCTGGTATTTGGGTAGTGCCTGAAAGTTTCTAAATATGGGCAAATGGAGAAAAGAAACAGTCCTTGAGCACTAGGGACTATAGCATGAGGTGTAATCAGACAGAGAAAATGAGAAGGGTATTTAACATCACAGGTATTTTGCCTAAGTGTAGGAACAGGACAGATGGACTGTCTCTGTATTCCCAGATGTTCTTAAAGAGAGCAGGAACTGACTACAACTAAGAGGTTTTATCTGAAAGTCAGTACCAGTATGTTTTTTCACCTCATATAAACAAAGAAAAAGAAGGGTTTGTTCTGCTTCACTGGAGCAAAAAAATAACACAATAGACTTCCATTCAGGCACATAAATAGCAACTGTCCTGTGACTTCTCTATTTAAATGGGTATCCATGGTGAGATCTGCCTAGCTTTCGTTCGATGGCTGTGGAACGGTGCTGTGGTTCACACTGCAGACAGGAAGGAAAAGGCAGCTGAAAAATTCCCCTTACAATGAATGAATGAAGAAATGCAGCAAGATATCAAGTGTCTGTTGCATCACACTGCAAAAAAATGATGCCTGTGTTCTCCACCACTGCTTTACTGTTCCTTCACAATGCTTTTCCAGGTGCATTCCAATTAAATGCTAGTCTGTACTTGTAGGCACAACCCTGACCAACAGATGGTACGTAAGTAGGTGTAAAAACTGCAGCGTTACAAGGGGCTTCCTTCCCAGGCTGCATTTCGTGTTTGATTTCTCCTTTCAGTGTTGGTAGTAGGGATTGGTAACCTGCTCTGTGATATATGAGCCTGGGTCAGACCCCTCCAGGGTCTTGTCTGGCTCAGAGCACACAAGGATGACCTGGTGCTGTAGGTACCAGCACAGATGTTTGCTGTACAAGTGATCTTTAGCAGCAGAAGGAAAAGAGAAGCTGGGTCAAGATTGCTGGACTTCTTGAACCGCCTGTTTTCTGGGGAGAATGGCAGACCTGCCTAAAATTTAAGATACTACTGATATGTCATCAGGGCTATTTATATCAGTGATCTGTGAAATAAAAGTCAAAATCGGCTACAGGAGTCTGAGCTAATGAATGATGAGTTCCTGGTGTTGGAATAATTATTACAATTGATGACAACAAGATCAGCTGTTTTGCCAAATACAAGCTTGAAAAATAGTACCTTTTAGCCCCAAAATAAGCCAAAATTGGGTTAAGGAGTCAAATATAGAAACATTACCCTTGGCTTGTTATATCCTGCATTAAAATTTATATTCTGCATTGAAATACTGATGGTTCACACTTTTGAGATCTTAGCTGTACATGCATCAGCTAGAAAGTGTCATGTATCATTTAAAAGTGTTATATTCTGGTAATAAGTGGAATGTAAAAATCCTCTTATAGATCATGATATTCACAGTAAAATTATTAGCAATGCTAATGCTAGTACAATTTGGAAGAGATTGATACACCACTGATAATGCACTGAACTTGAATTCTATCAAAACTAGTAGAAAAGCTGTTCCTGACTTTAAGTGAGAACCAGATCTGACCTATAAATTTTTAAAAGGTTATGCCTAAGTGCTAAAAATTGAAAATATTAATAAAAATGTAATCTCTCATTGCTGTCAGCAAGGCAAAGCCCCTGAAGCTTTTATATATACCTTCTACCATTCTTTGTATTTTGCTTCCATGTGAAGACTGGAAGTGGACTGATCAGTAAGGGTTTGCTTTACTCAAACCAAGCCAGGAGTTAGGTGCTAACTCCAGCTGCTGCCAATACAGCAGCCATTGAAATGTGAAAGCACAGTTAAAAAGAGCTAATTTTAAAAGTGTTTTCCTGTGAAACCCATCCAGCTTTTCAAATCAGACTTTCACTGTCTTCCCCAAACCAACCAAATGTTACAAAATCTGGGAATGCAGCTGAGGAATCCTGCCAACCCCCTGGTGCAGCATGGTTGTCTCGCATACTTTCTCTGC